GGGTTCAAGCTATTCTCCTGCCTCAACCTCCTGAGTAGCTGGGATTACAGGCATGTGCCACCATGCCCAGCTAATTTTGTATTTTTAGTAGAGATGGGGTTTCTCCATGTTGGTCAGGCTGGTCACGAACTCCCAACCTCAGGTGATCCACCTGCCTCGGCCTCCCAAAGTGTTGGGATTACAGGCACGAACCACCGCGCCTGGTCAGTTATATCTTTTTTTAAAACCCAGGCACTCTATGTCTTTTGATGACACTCTATGTCTTTTGATGAGATTCACATTTAAAAGAATTATTGATATGTAAGGACTTACTATGACCATTTTATTAATTTCTGTTTTGTAGTTCCTTTGTTCCTTTTACCAACTTCCTTAATGATTTGAGGATTTTTTCAAAACAAGCATTTTATACGATTCAATTATTCTCTTTCCTCTTAGCTTATAAATTATATTTGATTATTTTTGATATAGGGTCTAGCTCTGTTGCCCAGGCTGGAGTACAGTGGGATGGTAACAACTCACTGCAGCCTTTACCTCTTGGGCTCACAAAATCCTCCCACCTCAGCCTCCCAAGTAGCTGGGATAACAGGAATGTGCCACCACGCCCAGCTAATTTTTAAAAAATCTTTTTGTAGAGTTGGAGTCTCACTATGTTGCCTAGGTTGGTCTTGAACTCCTAGGTTAAAGTGATCCTCCTGCTTTGGCCTCCTAAAGTGCTGAGATTACAGGTATGAGCCACTATGCCCAGCCATAAATTACATTTCTTAAAAAAAAATTAGTGGTTGCCCTAGTTTGTAATATATTGCATTTACAGCCAATCTTAATTCACTTTCAAATAACACTATACTGTTTCACAGTATAGTAGCACAGGTACCTTAAAATAAAATGTTTCCAATGCTTTCTTCCTCTCACTTATAACATTATTGTCATTCATTTTACTCATCCATGATACTATAATCACAAAAATGTTGTTTTTGGCGTTGTTATTATGACAATTAAGAATAAGAACAATGAAAGTTTTATTTTACCTTTATTTATTCCTTTGTTGGTGCCCTTCCTTTTTTAAAAAAATAGATAGATAGATAGATGAATAGATAGATAGATAGATAGATCTGAGTGATCATTTTCCTTTTCTCTGAAGAGCTACCTTTAAATTTCTTGTAGGGCGGATTTGCTGGTAATTAATTCCTCCTGCTTTTTTGTTTGTTTGTTTGTTTTGACCAGGGAAAGTTTTTATGTCTTCTTCACCTTTGAAAGATAATTTTGCTGGATTTTTCTGGGGGTGGGGTGTAGGGTGAAGGGGGTGGGCTTCTAGGCTTCTAGCAACACTTTAAATATTTTACTCTATTCTTCTTCCTTGCATTGTTTTATCATGAGAAATCCAAATTTTTTATTCTTGTTCCTCTATAGGTAAGGTGTTTTTTTTTACCCCTCTGGATTCTTTCAATATTTTTTTCACTGGGTTTTCTGCAGTTTGAGTATGATATGCCCAGCCGTAGATTTTTTTTTTTTTTGAGACAGAGTCTCTGTTGCCCAGTCTGGAGTGCAGCAGTGCGATCTCGGCTCACTGCAACCTCCGTCTCCTGGGTTCAAGCAATTCTTCTGCCTCAGCAGAAGGCCCATCAAAGGCATTCTTCATGTCCACTGTGATTTTTTAAAATTTCTAACATTTCCTTTTGATTCTTAGGGTTTCCATCTCTTTATTTACAGTCCTCATCTGTTCTTGCATGTTGCCTACTTCTTCCATTAGAACCCTTATTAATCATAGTTTTTTCTATTCCATGTCTGATAAATCCTAAATTGGTGCCATATGTGAGTGCAGATCTGAGGCTAGATTTGTTTATTTAGAATTTTTTTCTTGCCTTTTGGCATGCCTTATGATTTTCAGTTGAACGCCAGACCCAATGTATTGGGTAATAGGAAATGAGGTAAATAGGCTATTAGTGCTAGGATTTATGTTAATGTGGCTAGGACTTGAGCTGTGTTTTTTTGTGTTTTTTTTTTTTTTTTTTTTTTTGTTTTTTTTGAGTCGGAGTCTCGCTCTGTCGCCCAGGCTGGAGTGCAGTGGCCGGATCTCAGCTCACTGCAAGCTCCGCCTCCTGGGTCTACGTCATTCTCCTGCCTCAGCCTCCCAAGTAGCTGGGACTACAGGCGCCTGCCACCTCGCCCGGCTAATTTTTTGTATTTTTTTTGGTAGAGACGGGGTTTCACCGTGTTAGCCAGGCTGGTCTCGATCTCCTGACCTCGTGATCCGCCCGTCTCGGCCTCCCAAAGTGCTGGGATTACAGGCTTGAGCCACCGCGCCCGGCCTTTGAGCTGTGTTAAGTGTTTGCTGCTGTAGTACATAACAGAGCCTCCTCAATTTTCTCCAGTTTCCTTGTTTTTGTCTCCTCTGGTATCGTTAGCTTTCCCTAAGATTACCTTCTTAAATAAGAGTCTACACCTTGTAGCTCTTTGCACCATCATCCCGTTCCTATACTGGAGTTCTGTTAATGTGGTGCTAGGGTATGTAGGAGGTGATGCAATTAAATCTCAGTCTTTTAGTCCTGTGTCCCTGGGCTGTGATGTTCACCAGTGTTTCCAAGCTTTTTTCCCCCCACCTCTTAGGTGAGACGCGAAGGCTAGATGGGGCTGGAGTTGGGTAACTTCCTTTTGTCATGTAAGATCATGCTCTGGTATCCTTTTTCCCTAATGAATAGGCCTCTATTATGAAGAACACTCAGTATTTTGAAAATGGTAACCTTTCCCTTGTCCCTGCCAGAAGCATGAGTTTTCTCATTGCTCTTCATTGTGAGAACCTGATGGGTTTCCCAGAGGTAAAACCCATGAAAATGTAGGGGACTCCCTAAGACTGTGACCCTAGGAATTTTCTCACTCTCATACTAGTTCACAAACTTCCTCCAGCAATTTGTCAAAGTGTCCATTTAAGTGTTCCGACTAGTTTACGGCTTCAGTGGCTTCTGCTCCAGGTAAGCTGATCTCAATTATGATTCTCTTTATTCATATTTCTGAGGATTTTAGGGGGTGGTTTGCCCTACAACCTCAATTCCCCAGTGGCTCCAGGAAGTTATTTTCAATTTGTTCAGCCTTTTCCTTCCAAAGATGGGAGTGGTAAGTTTTTTGAATGTCAGAGCTGGAACCAGAAGTATCCCCTCAGAAAATGATTCCTTATTTTCCTGTTCTTCTTCCCACATTTATAAATGAGTTTGTTGGCTTAGAGAGACACTTGACATGGGAAGTCTGAGGAGAGGCTAGAACATCACTATTCTAAGGGAAGATGTCAGACAGAGGTAGGGGTTCAGGAGGACTAAGGTTTCCATCTGAAGCTCACAGACTCCCTATCTGGCTGTAATGGAGAATTCCAGGATAAAATCCAAAAAACAGTGATTCTGTGGTACTGGATTAAATTATTGAGACTGTGGACTCTGAAAAGAACAGCTTCTCCTGACACTCGATCATGAGTAATATTTCCATGTCACGTGTCACTCAGCCAAACCTTCCTTCATGCTGGGCTGATGAGGAGGGCAATGCTGAGAGCCTCTGAGCAGAAGCTGAAGCTGGAGTGCTGTTTCCAGGACACAGGTTCTGTGAGGGAGCAAGATGTGACTGTTGGCCTCTGAATCTGTGCCTTCCTTGAACTGAGGACTGCTAACTGAGAACATCAAGTGTAGCTCTCATAGACAAAACCGTCCTTTGAATTTTTCAAAGGGAAAAATTGGAAATATTTTATCACCTTTAAAACTTGAAAAAAGAAGCTTTTTTTTTTTTTTTTTAGACTGAGTCTTGCTCTATTGCCTAGGTTAGAGTGCAGTGGCATGACTTGGCCCACTGCAGTCTCTGCCTCCCGGGTTCAAAATATTCTCATGACTCAGCTTCCCGAGTAACTGGGATTACAGGCTTTCACCATCACACCCAGAATAAACACATTTCTATTAATTAAGATAGAGAGTCATATTATTCTTGTATAATCAATGTCTGAGCTTCCTAGAGGAGTGAGAGAAGTGAGTTCTGGCCTCGCATTATTTTCTTTTTGTTCTTAGCATCAAGGCAGAGCCAAGAGGAGAAAGAAAAATGGAACATTTAAAGGTAAGGTTCTGCCCATTCAACCTCAGCTCCCCAAAGATGACTCTTTCTATCTTTTCCATGAGGTTTCAGGTTCCCAGTCTCTGAGGATGTCAGTTACTAGATACAGTCTCTGTTAGAAAACAGTCCTCACAGGAGAGGCTCACGGGAAAGCAATCAGACCTAAGACACTTCTCGGAGTTCCTGCTCTGCCCAACCACGCACAAGAAGGAGTGATGAACCTGGGCAATGGGTGTTGCCCAGTAGGTGGCCATGTGAGATCTACTGTGGAAGGACTACTGGGTGGTTGGTTTGGAGTCACAACTTCTGTCTCTCCACTTTGTATAAGTACTTTGACGTCCTCCTTTGTGAGATAACCGCTGACATCTGTGCTTCATGTGATTTATTTTTATTTTTATTTTATTTTTTTTGAGACAGAGTCTCACTTTGTTGCCCAGGCTGGAGTGCAGTGGTGTGATCTCCACTCACTGCAAGCTCCGCCTCCCGGGTTCACACCATTCTCCTGCCTCAACCTTTGAGTACCTGGGACTACAGGTGCTCACCACCACACCCAGCTAATTTTTTGTATTTTTAGTAGAGATGGGGTTTCACCATGTTAGCCAGGATGGTCTCAGTCTCCTGACCTCGTGATCCACCCACCTTGGCCTCCCAAAGTGCTGGGATTACAGGCATGAGCCACCGCACCTGGTCCCATGTGATGGGTTTGAACATCACATGGAATACTGTATGTAAAAGGACTTTATAAATGAAGCCACTTACATATGTGAACCGTGTTAATATTATCAATGACAATTTGAGCGTTTCTACAGATCCTTGAGGTTCTTCAAGACCAATCAACCAAGGGCACCCCTAAGGGGCATTCTACTCAGCCTTCTATAAGATCTCTTTGCTTCTAACTTCATCACTATCCTGTTACTCACCCTACTGGCTTTTCAGTTGGAGAACTTGCCAGAGTGAAGTAGAGGAAGAGAGGAAGCTGTTTTTTCTTCTGCAAAGGTGACTCAACATTATTCTTCTTTCCAGTATCCCTCTTTTTAGTAGAGTTCATGTAATTATAGGGTGCTACAAAAGCCTGGGGTTGAAATGGGAGGAAAAATCCAGTGTCAGAATGTAAAAGCCATAGGGAAAGGGGTAAAAGGTATACTGTGAGATAAGGAAAGTGGAAGGGGGCATATGAAAAGACAGCATGCATTGTGAGGTCTTATCTTTGCAAGACCTGTCAAGGTCACATATGTTTGTTTCAATCCTGGCTGCAGCTTTGTACCTCTTGTCTCCTGTAGTCCTCTGGGCCAGCATTACAATACCATCCGTTTTCATCAACTATTATGTCCAGACCTTCTCTGTGAGGTGTGTAATAGAGCAACTGCTGAGGTCAAGTGACTGCTGTTCCAGGAGTCCCCGTAAGATGCTGCTCCCTCTGTGTCCCCTTTGGCTTCCACAGCTTCTGTGACCAAGTCATCATTAACTCTAACCTCTGCCCTTCCAGCAACCCTTCTAGAAGACCTAATACTGGCTCCTCTCTGCCTGAGCCTTCTCCTCTGCCCTGCTCCATTCTCTCCCCTGACCTGAATATCCTCTTAGCTGACTTATTTTCACCCTCATCGCTGAGTGACACTCTGCCACCACAGCCTGTTCCTCCCTTGGATTCCAGATTCTCTGTGGACCATTCCCCATCCCAACAGCTTGCTTTTCCCCCTCTCCCACCACAACACACTCAGAAGGCAGATACTGATCTCCAACCCAAGGCCTCTCTGTCTCTGAACCCTGCCCTTGACCCCACCCTTTCCCAAGATATCAACCCCTTATCTGATGTTTCCCGGGCAATGAATCCCACTAATTCATGTGCTTGTGATCACACGCCACCAACCCTGTCTGCTTCACCACTGCAAGACTGAACTGTGACTCAATCTAAATCAAGTTCTGTCTTATTGAAACCTGTTTCAGAGATGCCCTCTATGGAAAGTCCCATTTGGTTGTCCACTTATGTTCCAACAATCAGAGGCATGGACCGTTCCAACTCAGAATTCTCCTGGTGGCAGCCTCACATCAGGAACATGTTCCTCCCCAGATTACCATACCCTGATTTTCAGCGGGAGCATGTTTCCCTTCCTTCACCAGAGACCTGTCTCTGGGAAGATTCTGATACCAAGCACATGGAGGCCAGTAGCCATTCGTTTTTGGCCTTAAGATACAGGCACTCCTAGAAAAACAAATAAAAAAAGAATGGCTTTCCAGATTTTGGCGAAGAAAGAAGAGGAGAAGGGATTATTTTCAAAGTAAATGTGGTCAGAATACCAACTGACATCTTCAGGAAATTTATTGCAGTCCCTTGTTGATGAGCAGGACACCACAGGCCCCCAAACAAGCTGGAACACCAAAGGCACACCAGAGCAGCTGCGTGTTTGTCAGCAGCTCCTGCATGTCAAAACTTTGGGGGGAAGTGTGCAACAGAAATATAGCCACGGCCAGGCTTGGTGGCTCATGCCTGTAATCCCAGCACTTTGGGAGGCCGAGGGGGGCAGATCACGAGGTCAGAAGATCGAGACCATCCTGGCTAACACGGTGAAACCACGTCTCTACTAAAAACACAAAAGATTAGCGGGGCGTGGTGGTGGGTGCCTGTAGTCCCAGCTACTTGGGAGGCCGAGGCAGGAGAATGGCGTGAACCCGGGAGGCAGAGCTTGCAGTGAGCCGAGATCATGCCACTGCATTCCAGCCTGGGGAACAGAGCGAGACTCCATCTCAAAAAAACAAAACAAAACAAAACAAACCCAAAAAGAAATATAGCCAGCTTTTCTAGGGTCTTTCCTCTCTGCATAGTGTGTCCTTAGTGGTTACTCTCCTGGTCTCTAGGAGCAGCTCCCCACTAGTGTCTTGCTTTATTGTATTCAATACAGTCCAAATGCATGATCAAGAATCTCTACCACTTCCTCAGTTCCACCATCATCCCCTCACCCTTATACATCCCCAATCCTTTCCTCAAACCAACCACCAACCCCAGATCCTACCTATCACTCAGATCCATTCCCAGGCTCACCTTCACTCCTCACTCCCTACCCTACCATCATCTTCTCCATCCCAGGTTAAGGACTGTGGAATATCTTCCCATATACTCCAGAATGAGGCTGACTCTCACACCTCAAATCTACATCTGGAATGGCATGTGTTACAGAAACAACAGGAACGTTTGTGGGGTTTAGTCCCTTTGCTCCAAAAATCTTAAGAAGCCCTTCATCCTCCAGCTCCCAACCTTCCATTGGTCAGCCAGTCCTCCCAGGCCTATGTTCCAGTCTCCACTTTTCCTGGTTATTTTCATATCAGAAATGATCCCCAAGAGAAATTGGAGCTCCATGTTCCAAAGAGGCCAATCTTACGCTGGTGCCTTCATACCTGCAGGAATCCAGGGTCTCTATCACTGAGGAAGCCTCAGTGCAAATCAACAGAAATATCTTAGCAGAATTGTAGACATACTCACAACCCCTTGAGCTTCAGGGTCACAGTAGCAAAAATCTAGGGAAGACAGAATTGAGTCTCCCAGGAAGTTTCCATGAGAGGTCCCAACAAAGTTTCAGCTATGAAATGACACAGCAAACAATCTTGAGTATATCTTGGCGAAGTGCCCATTACATAACCCACCAATGGTCTCAGAAAACTACCTGGTGAAGGGTCTGAGGGCTGTCTCTGACAGAAAAAGTAACTGGGTAGGTCACTCAAGGAATGAATTACTAAGTGTATGAAGGAGGAACTTAGACCAGAATCAAGTGAAAACCATTCTTAGATTACATTTGAGCAGGAAGTTTTGGCAGGTCACTTTGGATAGGATTCCCATCTGAGTATGTTGTTCATGTCTGGCTCACAATACATTGCCTCCTTCTGGGAGTTCCCACACCAATAAGGAAAACAGAAATGTGGCACCATTGGTGGGAAGGGTGTACTGCAAGATTACCACTCTGGAACTTTCCTTTCTTGATTCCAAAATCCATCAGGTATTAGAGGCTCATATGATGAGGGTTAGGGTAAGTCAGAGGTGTGGGTCTACCCTTCAAGGTTCTTGAATCCATAAAATTCTATATGTTGAGAAAAGCCAAAACATGGCCTCTTCCCCAACTTAACTTTCCTTTGTCTACCACTTATATTTCTAGGATGGTTTCTAAAGGTGTGGTTTCCAGGTCCCTTGAGGGATGCTCTAATGCTTTTCAGGGACACAAGTTAGAAATGACAAATCCAGTTCCCAGCTTGGATTGTCCTCTCCCTGCCACTTCATCTGTAAACACAGGATAGGGAGCCTTGAGACAATCACCCTCTCCTACTCGCTGTAAGCTTATAGAGACTGCCCAGACAATTGAGGATGGCAGACAGACTTTTCTGCCCCCTATACACAGCATCATAGACAAAGAGAATCATAATGAGACTGTACTAGCCAATAGACACAGCTCAGAGCTGTCCACAAGGCAAGACAGGGGTAGAGATGAATCAAGGAATGAGAAGGTGAGTCCCAGCAATAGTGTAGAAAGGCTTCAGGGCAAACAAAATGGTAGCAGAAACTTTAGAACATTTTTCTATGTCCAACGTGTCCAGGGAGATAGAGGAGCTCTGTGCTCTTCAATCATAATCTAATGATATCTTGACAACCAGTGAGTTGGGAAGCTCCTCAGTGATGAACGCAAGTAAAAGTAAAGAAGAAACTACTTTGACCTCCAAATACTCCCCACCAAGAATATTGATTGCTGAAGATCCTAAATCATCAGACTTTAAAGGACAGCTGGTTAGTGAGTTAAAGTTTAAATTGCAGAGTGGGGAGCATAGTAGGCTCAAGGTTGTCTCAGCAACATGTTCTTTACTTCAGATAGCTTGATTTCTGATTCCTCACTGGCTTACTCCCTGAGTGTCTCCAGTGAGGACAAGGCAGCTTTCCAGGTACTGCATATCCACCCGGACAATGGAGGGATCAGCATGAAGCAGTTGCAAGAGCCCCAAGTCTCTAAGTATGTCTTATGGGAGTGCCAGGATAAGAATTTCCCATCAGCCAAGAGGGGACCCAAAGCAAGAGAATGTGGGAGCGAGGACTTGGGATTAGGGACATCCAAAGCCACAAGGAAGAGCCATCTTGGCAAGGACAGGAAATTAGAGGCGACTTCAAAGTCTCTGTCACAGAAAGAACCATTTCGTCCTGGAAGTTACTTCGGAAAAAAAGATGAGACATTTTCTTCAGTGGATTGATTTTAAGAGAAAAAGCACGGGGCAGAAAGTCCCATGCAAAAAGACAAGTTAATGCCAGCCTTTGTACAGCACCAAGACCTAGTGGAAGGTAGACCTGTCTTTATGAGGCCTCTTGAAGCTCTTGAGCTCATGACAGCCAATGGGAAGATACTAGAGGAGAAACTGGCACGTAGGCAGGAACCTGAGGACTTGGAATTAAGTCAGTGGAAGAAAAGCTGCAGACTCAGGCAGAGCCTGACAACGGATGACCCTCCAACTATTGGCTTCCCTCTGAACACTGGCAAGGGGAAGGGGCAAGTACCAACCCTTATAACCAAGAAGCTGTGTCTGCCGACCCAAGTTATCTTTCAAGCATCACATGGATCAGGACTAGGATCAGTCATCCCCAGAAAGTTGTGACATTTAAAGAGCAGCTATTACGCCAGAGTAATCCCCCTTCCCTGCCCTCTAGTGAGTCTGTGTCCCATCCAAGCCCCACCTGCAGGCAAGTATGTGCCCCTGACATCACACCAGCTTAAGGCACTGTGTTCAAAGATTTGACCCTTCTTTGCAAACAGAAAATGCTTCTCCAGCACTTACAGGAAGGAAAAATTTTCCCCAAAGAATAATCCAGTTCTTGTAGAAAGAGCCTCTCAGTTTTCATGATAGTATATCCTCTGCTGAGAGCAATCTCTTTTTAGCACAATCAAGACTATTGACCCTGCCCAACAAATGTTTCTTGTACTATAGAGTGGTGTTCTCCATGTACTGCTCTGGAGGTGTGGGTTTTGGGTATCCCAGAGCTTGTGCTCAGGGAAAGGAAGGAATTAGTTTAGGTCTTATTGTTTTTCTCTTTTGCCTTCTAAAAGATGACCAGTCCCTTGTAGGGAGCCTGATAATGGCCTTCTCAGTCTTATCCTAGGGTCTTTTGACACTTTTCAGATGTCCTGTAATTAAAACACTATTATTTCATAAAAGTACAAAAAGTTTACTCTAAAACCTTTCAAGGCTTTTCAAAGTGAGAAAAACCCTTTGAAAAATCCAAAGTCCAGAACTTGGCTCAAATTATCCTTTTACTGGCTACCTGGCTATCTTAAAGTACATACAGCTGTAGAGTACAGTGAGTTACTCTGGCATAATAAAGCCAGAAATTCCCTTGCTGCCTCCAGGCAGTTTTTTTTTTTTTTTTGAGACAGAGTTTTGCTCTTGTTGCCCAGGCTGGAGTGCAGTGGCATGATCTTGGCTCACCGCAACCTCTGCCTCCTGGGTTCAAGTGATTCTCCTGCCTCAGCCTCCTGAGTAGCTGGTAATACAGGCATATGCCACCACACCTGGCTAATTTCATATTTTTAGTAGAGACGGGGTTTCTCCATGTTGGTCAGGCTGGTCTTGAACTCCTGACCTCAGGTGATCTGCCCACCTCGGCCTCCCGAAATGCTGGGATTATAGGCGTGAGCCACCGCGCCCAGCCATTAGGAAGTTTTAGAGTTGGAAGTGTGGTGGTTTTTAGACCCTGAAATCAGTGACAGGGAGAAATCTTTTTCTTGGATCTCTCGGTGAGGAACAAATATTCCTCCCAAGAGCCAGCCCTTCTCTCCCTCATGAAGTTTGGGGCAATGTGCCCTGTTCCCCACCTCCTACCTTACCCTAATGATAATGGAAAATGGGTAGTTGTATATCTTTTCCCTTTCTGTAGCCTTTTTGGAGCAGTAGTGGGGATAGAAAGTGCATCTCTGAAAGAGGCCAGGAATAAAAATAATTTTCTGAAAACAGTAGTTTACTTTCATTTTTAAAAAGCTACTGACTCCAGAACATCAGACAGGTGAGTGGTCATTGTATGAGGCACGAATGGGTGGATTTTGCTATTGTGGACACTTATTTGGCTGAGGTATGGTCCAGGCAGTGGGTGGGTCCTGCTGAAAAATCTGTTATATGTGGCATATTACTCTGTCTAAAAAGAGTATTTTGAAGTTGACCATAAGGTCTCTTTGCTTATGAGGTTATCTTGAGGAAAGAGAAGACTCCCTTCCTTAGGGAATCTCTTCAAGATGCATGGCTTGATAGCACTCTTACAAGACCAAGGGATTGCGTGGCAATGACTTGTAGGAATGGTCACCAGGCAGTTACTCAGAACTTGGGAGAAAAGGAGACAGAGAGCAAGAAAAATGTAATGGGAGAGTGAGTGGGCAAGGAAAATAAAAAGAAGAGGGAAAAGTATAACCTCATCATCCCTACTCATAACTCCATCCTGGCATCCACTGCACCCAACACTCCTTTACCTAGGCCTCACCTCCTAGAGTCTAATAAGGGATTTGTAGAGCACAATGATTCCACTTCAGTATAAGAGTACGAGGGATGATCTTTGAGCATAAAGACAATATTTGCAGGGATGTTGTCAGACACAATATCATCCTATTTGGAGAAGGTGATCTTGGTCCCTGCCTTCCAGTCATGCTGCTACACCTTACACCAAAGTTATGATGATTTACAAGTATGTTAGATATGTATTGCTGTGTAATAGACACCTCAAAATTTAGTGGCCTAAAAAATATGTTATCTTACAGTTTGTGGATCAGGAATCCAGGCAAGGCCTAGCTGGGTTCTCTGCTTCAGGGTCTCTCACAAGGCTATAATCAAGGTGTCAGCTGGGGCTGGGGTCTCGTCTGAAGGCTTTACTGGGGAAGGATAACCTGCCATGCCCACTTATGTAGCTGTTGGCAGGATTCAGTTCCTCAAGGTCTATTGGACTAAGGTCCTCAATTCCTTGCTGACTGTTGGCTGGAGCTGGCTGGAGGCCACCTTCAGTTCCTTATCATGTGGGCCTCTCCAATGTGGTAGCTTGCTTCATCAAAGTCAGGAAAGGAGAGAGTCTGCTAACAAACCAGAAGTTACATCTTTTGTAAACTAAAATTGAAAATGATATCCCATCATCTCTCCCTTTTTTCTACTGGTTAGAAGCAAATCAGAAAGTCCAGCCCACATTTAAGGGGAGGGATAATTACACACATGTCAGTACCATGAGGTAGAGTCACTGGAGACTTCTTAGAAGACTTCCTAACAAAAGGGTCTCTTCTTGGCCATCCCATTGAGTTCACTGAAGCCAAAGTGGCCAAAGGTGCCAAATAGGTCGTCACCCTGATCCATATCCAGATTATCAAGGTGGAAGTTGTTTAACAGTTGAGTGGAGTGGTGGCTGGTTAAAAAACAAAAATAACTCCCCCCGCCGACAAATATCAAAGAAGTTGTAGCATCCAAAGAAAAAGAAAGTTGGTATGAAGGTAGAAGTGGTGTGGGGTCATCATGAATGGTAAAGTGAAAGGAGCCCTTAGAACCACCTGAAATACCACTGCCAGTATTCAAACTTAGAGGAGAAATTAGGGGCAAAAAGTCTGGAAGTAAGACTGGCCCTAGGCAGGAGGGTTCATACGGGGACTCCATTAATTTCCTCAGAATTCATTTCTATCCATGCCTTTGCTCTGTGTTATGAGTTGGCTTCATTAAGACTTTGTATCTGGTAAGTTCATAGCTATATTCTCCAGGCTTCAAGTGCAGATAAAAATAGGTTGCCTCTCCCACTAGTTCCTTCAAAAGTTCCATTAGTACCCTGCTGGCTCCAACTGGGTCGCATGCCCATTCCTAACCAATCACTATCGCCAAAAACATGGAATGATCTTTTCAGCCAAGCCTGAGTTACATACCATCCTCAAAATAGTAGTGTTGGGAAAGGCAACTCCACCTGCACATGGACTGAAACCGAAACTGGGGTTAGTTCCCCATAAGGCAATAGAGGAAATATTTCCAGAAGGTGAGTAAATTCTGGGTGACAAAGATAAAATGGATTTACTAAAGCCCTCTCTCTTACTGCTCCATTTCTTCCTTCTTGTTCAGAGTCATGTCATTGACCAAAGCTTAGAAATTCAGGAAGAATGGTAATTCTGTGGATGCCTTGGGAGGGGAAAAAGTTGGGATGAGGTTCAGGGTAAGGAACCCTCAATGTGAAGGAAATCAGTTGAAGGCCTCAACATCCAGGTGAATAGATGTCATCTTAAAGCCCTTTACCTTCATTCCAGTCCAGTTATTGCCATACCCTAGAACTACCAGGAATATCTCTGCTTTTGGAAAAAAGACAGTCTGACATTCCACCCTTTATCCTTCTCACTTATGCCCTCAGTATGCCAGTTCTTCAACCAATTCAGGAATTGCAAACCACTTTAAACTTTCTCCTTGCCAATCAGGTAACCTTTTATTTCCCTCCTCTTCAAGAAAAACCTCATAATCCACACTTAACCACAAACCTGGTTAAGATCTGGACTTTATGATCTACTCCAAACAACCTATCCCAGTGTCTTTTCATCTTTCCTGCCTGGAAAAATCCAACTTGCTACCTTCACTAGACCTGTCTTCTAAAAACAAGCTGATTCTTTTTGGATAAAATCACACAATTAAGTGTTTGGTGCCACCATTAATTCATTATCTACAACTAATGGCCAGTTTCTAACACTGCCTGAAAATAATCCGTTCATTCCTCCAGTGAGTACTTTGTGCTAGGCAGTCTTCTAAGCACTTGGGTCACACAGTGAGGGAGCAAAGCTCTCTGTGTTGTGGAGTTTATCTTATTATTTTCTTAGTAAATTTCTTTGCTTATCTACTCAAAATTACAATTTCACTTTCCTAATTTTCTCGACCGTACTCACCCATTGAACATATGTGCTGGACCACATATATTACAAAGGAATGAGAAGCCAACAGATGGGAACCTTTCATCATAAAACTTAAAAATATCTCAAACACCTTGAACTCCCATCAAATAACTTTGCTCTTTCCTTCCATTATACTGAAAGAGGTTTCCCTCAGATACCCGCCTTGATCCTCCCAAGCTGTGATCCGTCCTTGGTTTCCAGTTCACAACACCCTCCACAGTGTATTGGAATATTTGGCTTAATAGTCTGTCTTCCAGACTGAGATCATGTCTCCCTCATCAAGGCTCTGTGCCCAGCATTTAGTAATTAGATAGCTCAGAAACTTCTGGAGGAATGAAAGAGCAATAGGAAAGATTTCAGACAGAAGGCACTGCCTCCTGTCCAGATACTCCAGCATCTGTATAGCAAAATTGTATAGCGTCCTTTGGGGCCCAACCTTACCCGGGGGTGGAGCCACGGCCGGGGCGAGGCTTCATCCAGGGACCCGGCCTGAGAGGACGCGCTGCTGGGCTTCCTAAAGGCGGCAGTGTTGGCCACAAATCTCACCTCAGGCTTCTGGATTCTGTGTCCATCGCTTCCGGAAGACAAGAGCTGAGATTTGCTTCAAAGACATGGTCCTGGAAAAGGTCTCTGGTCACGGAGTACCCTTCTTCCCCACCCTGCTTGAAGGAGGATCCTTTCCTTTGTCCGCCATTTTCTTTTCTTTCTGTTTTTTCTTTCTTTTTTTTTTTGAGACGGAGTCTCGCTCTCTGGCCCAGGCTCGAGTGCGGTGGCGCCATCTCAGCTCACTGCAAGCTCCGCCTCCCGGATTCCCGCCATTCTCCTGCGTCAGCCTCCAGAGCAGCTGGGACTACAGGCGTCCGCCACCAGGCCGGCTAATTTTTTGTATTTTCAGTAGAAACGGGGTTTCCCCGTATTAGCCAGGGTGGTCTCCATCCCCGGACCTCGTGATCTGCCCGCCTCGGCCTCCCAAAGTGCTGGGACCACAGGCGTGAGCCACCGTGCCCGGCCTGGACCGCTAGTTTCATCCCAACTGGCAGCGCGCCTCCCTGACGTTCCCCCAACGGAACTCCAACGGCCCCGCCGGGGCTTGAGGCCTCGGAAACCGCTCAGAGCCCTGGGCGAGGGGCTGCACTCTCCAAGTATACTCGATGGAACTCGATGGAGATGATGGTATAATAATTACAGTAACAATGTTGACCGCTATTAAGGCTTCGCTTTGCATTGGCTGCCTGGCTTTGCATTGACTGCCTGGCTTTGCATTGACTGCCTGGTTTGCACGAGTAACCTAACCTGAATCTCATATTTCACGTATGTTTTGGGGGAGATACTGATATCTGCTGGTAGGGTTGGCCCTGAGTGCTGCAATGAACGAGTAAAGAACTTTGTTCAGTTAAGGGCCGAAGTTAAGGAATGGGCTAAGGGCCCTGATGCAGTTACGACATGGCATTTTTCAGACACCGGAGAGGCCAGTGCCTTGGAAATAAATGCCTGTGCTGGACAGAAGGACAGTGTCAGATGCCAAAATGCTGGTCCATACACAAAATTAAGAGCTCATCATCCCTCTCTGTAGGATCAGTAACTGGAAGAAGGATGCTGGCTCTACACACTGTTTTTCAGAGGCGTCAAGTGCTCTAATCCCCTTCCCTCTGGAACCCAGAAGTGTGTCTAGTAGGAACGGTGGTTGGGAGCCCCAGATAAAGATCTACCAAGGCGCAGCGCCAGTGGACAGAGATAAGGTGTACTTCTGAGAGTGGAGGCACAGCCCTTTGTCATGCCTTTCAAGATCCAGGACAGCAAGACAGGAGGCTCTCCAGCAGAAAGGACTGCAGGCTTTTGTGGAACAGCAAATCTCAGGTAACTGTCTTTAATTACACAAATATTGATATAGTCATGCATTTATTGAGAGCCTACTACGTGTCTGTGTTCCCTCTTAGACAGGAATATCACTATGTTTGCCCTCGTAAGAGGTGAGAGGGAATCCTTTTTGTGACTGTTTGCCTTTTTAGAAAGTAGTACAGGCCGGGCGCGGTGGCTCACGCTTTTGTAATCCCAGCACTTTGCAAGGCTGAGGTGGGCAGATCACGAGGTCAAGAAATCGAGACCATCCTGGCTAACATGGTGAAACCCCGTCTGTACTAAAAATACAAAAAAAAAAAAAAAAAAAAAAAGAAAAAAGCCGGGAATGGTGGCGGGCGCCTGTAGTCCCAGCTACTCGGGAGGTTGAGGCAGGAGAATGGTGTGAACCCGGGAGGTGGAGCTTGCAGTGAGCCAAAATCAAGCCACTGCACTCTAGCCTGGGAGACAGAGCAAGGCTCCATCTCAAAAAGAAAAAAAAAAAAGAAAAAAGAAAGTAGTACACTGACGGTCCTTGACTTGATGGCTCTGCTTAGGGTATTTTCAAGTTATGATGGGTTTAATCAGATGCGACCCCCTTGTAAGTCAAGGAGCATCTGTATAGCAAATTTGAAAGATATGGAAAAGTAGAAGAACCCCGTACATTTCCATCCTTAAAACAATTATTCTTAGCCTTTTGATGTTTATTTCCGGATTTTGCTATGAAAATTGTTTTACATTACTTAAATAAGTACTTAAAAAGAAAAGCACACATCATATACATTTTATGTGATTATGAACTTTAATAATCTTTATAACATTAAATGGTAGAATATTAATTTTACTTTTTGTTGATGTTTGGGTAGTTTCTAGTTTTTTAAAATATAATTTCAACTTTTATTTTAGATTCAGGGCAGGTTCCTTACCTGGGTATATTGCATGATGCTGAGGTGTCAGATACAAATGATCCTGTCACCCAGGTACTGAGCATAATACTCAATAGTTACTTTTTCAATGCTTTCCCCCTCCCGCCCCGCTCTAGTAGTCCCTAGTGTCTATTGTTGCTATCTGTATGTCCATGAGTACCCAATGTTTAATTCCCACTATAAGTGAGAACATGAGGTATTTGACTTTCTGTTCCTGCTTTAATTTGCAAAGTGTAATGGCCTCCAGCTGCACCCATGTTGCTGCAGAGGACATATTTCCTCGTTTTTTTTAAATGGATGCATAGTATTCCATGGTGTATATGTACCACAATGTCTTTATCCACTTCACCGTTGATGGACACCTTGGTTGATTCCATGTGTTTGCTATTGTGAATAGTGCTGCAACGAACATATGAGTGCATGTGTCTTTTTGGGAGAGTGAATAATTTTGGATATACACCCAGAATGAGAATGTTGGATAGAATGGTGGGTCTGTTTTAAGTTCTTTGAGAAATCCCCAAATTGCTTTCCACAGTGGCTGAAGTAATTTACATTCCTGACAGTGATGTATAAACATTCACTATTTTTCTACGGCCTCACCAGCATCTGTTGTTGTTTGACTTCTTAGTAGCTATTCTGACTGGTGTGAGATGGTATCTCATTGTGGCTTTGATTTGTATTTCTCTGATGATTAGTAATGCCGAGCATTTTTTCATGTTTGGCAGCTTGTATGTCTTCTTGTGAGAAATATCTGTCAATTGTACTTTTTATTGACATTTAAGTAGTTGCTAATTAAAACATTTAAAAATATTTTGCTTACCGTGTTTGTTCGTAATTCTACTTGTTTATAAACTGTCCTATTACAAACAGCAGAAAGCTTTTTTCTAAATGTTTATTTTCTTACTGCCCTTGTCCTACTCACTTTTCTGTTTATTGGTTTCCTTAGATAAGTTATTCCCTCATGGAGTTAACTATTTTAGCACTAACTTAATTCTTTGAATTTTAAGCCAGTGAAACCAACTGATTGCTAAACATCCTCAAGGTAAAATCTTACGAACTGAACCGTTGTCTTCTGTCACCAAGATGCTTTTCCTCTGACATTCCTATTATTAATTAGTAGCACCAAGACACCCAAGCTAGAAACAGAACAGCCATTCTATACTTCTCTCTTCATTTTCTCCATAGCTAGTCTACTAATAGATGGATGAAGTGGAAATATATGCTGGGCAAAGAAATCCTAGAATTCTCACTATTCACTATGCTTCCCCCAAGTAGACTTTAAGAACCTTCAGGTCATCAGCTGTACTTTGAAGTACACTTTTAATTATATTAGTAATACCTATTCACAATCCGAGTCAAAATTAAAATATTCTTGTTAAGGTTAAATATCCCATTCAAAAACAAAAACAGATATGCAATTCCACATAAAATTTTCTATCTATTGACTTACTTTATATCACTATAGATTCTTGTTTTCTTACTGAATCCAATTCAGTCTGTTACTATCAATATTTATTTTGATGCCCAAATTGTCATAGATTTAGCTAGTTACTTCAATTTGACTTCTGTATTCTTTGGATATATCTCTGTTATTTCTTACTTTCTGATACAAAAAGATGTTTCAGACTCATCATATACTTTTGCTGCATCAGTCCCGGGTTCAGCCATTTCTCTTAGTACCCCTTGTTCCTTTATTGGAGAATGGTATTTAGAAGTCAAGGTCAGGGTGCTACTTGTGTTCATTATTATTAATATTAGGCATTGTTGGTTTTAGGTCCTCTCAATGGACAGAGCTAGTATACACACATGTTCATCCTTTAAATCTCAACCTATTTCTCTACATATCTATGTATCTTGAAAATCATGAATTTACATCAGTACCTCTAGGTGTAATTTAACACTACAGGGTTTACTCTAGTTTTCTTGCTTTCCACATTGGTGACTTCTTTCTCCAACAATGAGAAATCTGGTTCCCGTTAGCCTCAATATATTTGCTGTCAGTCCTCCGTCTGTAAGCAATCTCTCATCACCACTATGGCCCTACAGGTATGGCTGTCCTCTCCTACTCACTTGGGCTTAGACCTCTGTGCCCAGCAGCTGTGTTATGTAGGCACCCTCCTCAACCCACTGGATATCCAAAACCTGGAATCAGGCAACCTTTCTACGAAAAACGCCTATTCACCCTGCTTCGGCTCTTACACTCTGCTCTGGGACACTGCAATAGCTTCTAACTGCTCCCTTCCTCCTCTTTAGGTTTGGATGCCTATTTTGCTTGACTTAACTAATGATTATAAGATTGAATTCCTCAGGGGAGAGGAAGAGACATACTGTATTCCCTCCCAACACCTCACCCCTTATTTTATTGAAGATTAATTGACATGCAAAAAATGCATGTATTTAAAGTGTACAATTTAAGGAGTTTTGATATATGTGAATATGTACATGTTAAATCATTACACTCAAGATAGCAAACATATCCATATTCCCCCATTCATTTTGAGGTTTTTTTGAATTGAACTTTCTATTTTGAGATAAATATACATTCATGTGTAGTTGTAAGAAATAATAGAGAGAGCTCATGTACACTTAACCCAGTTTCCTACAATGGTAACATCTTATAAAATTGTAGTATGATAGCACAACCATTGACATTGACATTAACATTGACATTGAAATAGCCAAGACACAGAACATTTCTCTCACCATGAGAACCCCTCATGTTGCCATTTTATAGACATAGCAACTTCCTGCCTCCTTCCACTCCATCTAATCTGTTTTCCAATGTTACATTTTTGCCATTTCAGTAATGTTATATATATGTGTGTGTGTGTATATATGTGTGTGTGTGTATATGTATATATATGTGTGTGTGTGTATATATATATGGAATCATATAGTATATAATTTTGGGGGAATTTTTTTCCCCTCAGCTTAACTCTTTTGAATGTCATTTAAGCTGTTGCATTTATCAGTAGTTTCTTCTTTTTAT